TCCTCCTCCTCCTCCTCCTCCTCCTCCTCTCCTCCTCCTCCTCCTCCTCCTCCTCCTCCTCCTCCTCCTCCTCCTCCTCCTCCTCCTCCTCCTCCTCCTCCTCCTCCTCCTCCCTCCTCCTCCTCCTCCTCCTCCTTCCTCCTCCTCCTCCTCCTCCTCCTCCTCCCTCCCTCCTCCTCCTCCTCCTCCTCCTCCTCCTCCTCCTCCTCCTCCTCCTCCTCCTCCTCCTCCTCCTTCCTCCTCCTTCCTCCTCCTCCTCCTCCTCCTCCTCCTCCTCCTTCCTCCTCCTCCTCCTCCTCCTCCCTCCTCCTCCTCCTCCCTCCTCCTCCCTCCTCCTCCTCCTCCTTCCTCCCTCCTCCTCCTTCCTCCTCCTCCTCCTCCTCCTCCTCCTCCTCCTCCTCCTCCTTCCTCCTCCTCCTCCTCCTCCTCCTCCTTCCTCCTCCTCCCTCCTCCTCCTCCTCCCTCCCTCCTCCTCCTCCTCCTCCTCCTCCTCTCCTCCCTCCCTCCTCCTCCCTCCTCCTCCTCCTCCTCCTCCTCCTCCCTCCTCCTCCTCCTCCTCCTCCTCCCTCTCCTCCCTCCCTCCTCCTCCTCCTCCTCCTCCCTCCTCCTCCTCCTCCTCCTCCTCCTTCCTCCTCCTTCCTCCCTCCCTCCTCCTCCCTCCTCCTCCTCCTCCTCCTCCTCCTCCTCCTCCTCCCCTCCTCCTCCTCCTCCTCCTCTCCTCCTCCTCCTCCTCCTCCTCCTCCTCCCTCCTCCTCCTCCTCCTCCTCCTCCTCCCTCCCTCCTCCTCCTCCTCCTCCTCCTCCTCCTCCTCCTCCTCCTCCTCCTCCTTCCTCCTCCTCCTCCTCCTCCTCTCTCCTCCTTCCTCCTCCCTCCTCCTCCTCCTCCTCCTCCTCTCCTCCTCCTCCTCCTCCTCCCTCCTCCTCCTCCTCCTCCTCCTCCTCCTTCCTCCTCCTCCCTCCTCCTCCTCCTCCTCCTTCCTCCTCCCTCCCTCCTCCTCCTTTCCTCCTCCTCCCTCCTCCTCCTCCTCCTTCCTCCTCCTTCCTCCTCCTCCCTCCTCCTCCCTCCTCCTTCCTCCTCCTCCTCCTTCCTCCTCCTCCTCCGTTGTGGTGGAGTAGGAGACGTGGTGATGAGAGGGAAGATGTTGTGGTGGACAAGGAGACGTGGTGATGTGAGGAAAGATGTTGTGGTTGACAAGGATACGTGGTGATGTGAGGGAAGACGTTGTGGTGGACGGGGAGACGTGGTGATGTGAGGGAAGATGTTATGGTGGACAGGGAGATTTGGTGATGACAGGGAAGATGTTATGGTGGAGAAGGAGACGTGGTGATGTGAGGGAAGATGTTGTGGTGAACAGGGAGACGTGGTGCTGTGAGGAAAGATGTTGTGGTGGAGAAGGAGACGTGGTGATGTGGGGAAAGATGTTGTGGTGGACAGGGAGACGTGGTGATGTGAGGGAAGATGTTGTGGTGATGAGGGAGACGTGGTGATGTGGGGCAAGATGTTGTTGTGGACAAGGAGACGTGGTGATGTGAGGGAAGATGTTGTGGTGGACAGGGAGACGTGGTGATGTGAGGGAAGATGTTGTGGTGGACAGGGAGACGTGGTGATGTGAGGGAAGATGTTGTGGTGGACAAGGAGACGTGGTGATGTGAGGGAAGATGTTGTGGTGGACAGGGAGACGTGGTGATGTGAGGGAAGATGTTGTGGTGGACAAGGGAGAGGTGGTGACGTGGGGGAAGATGTTGTGGTGGACAGGGAGACGTGGTGATGTGAGGGAAGATGTTGTGGTGGACAAGGAGACGTGGTGATGTGAGGGAAGATGTTGTGGTGGACCGTAAGACATGCTGATGTGAGGGAAGATGTTGTGGTGGACAAGGAGACGTGGTGATGTGAGGGAAGATGTTGTGGTGAACAGGGAGACGTGGTGATGTGAGGGAAGATGTTGTGGTGGACAGGGAGACGTGGTGATGTGAGGGAAGATGTTGTGGTGGACAAGGAGACGTGGTGATGTGAGGGAAGACGTTGTGGTGAACAGGGAGACCTGGTGATGTGAGGGAAGATGTTGTGGTGGACAGGGCGACGTGGTGATGTGAGGAAAGATGTTGTGGTGGACAAGGAGACGTGGTGATGTGAGGGAAGACGTTGTGGTGAACATGGAGACGTGGTGATGAGAGGGAAGATTTAGTGGTGAACAGAGAAACGTGGTGATGTGAGGGAAGATGTTGTGGTGGACAAGGAGACGTGGTGATGTGATGGAACATGTTGTGGTGGAGAAGGAGACATGGTGATGTGAGGGAAGATGTTGTGGTAAACAGAGAGACGTGGTGATGTGAGGGAAGACGTTGTGGTGGACAGGGAGACGTGATGATGTGAGGGAAGATGTTCCGGTGGCCAGGAAGACGTGGTGATGTGAGGAAACCTGTTGTGGTGGAGTAGGAGACGTGGTGATGTGAGGGAAGATGTTGTGGTGGACAGGGAGACATGGTGATGTGAAGGAAGATTTAGTGGTCAACAGGGAGACGTGGTGATGTGAGGGAAGATGTTGTGGTGGACAGGGAGACGTGGTGATGTGGGTGACAGCGAGACGTGGTGATGTGATTGAACAATATTTTCGAAGAAATCCTTTGTGGCAGGAATGAACTACGTGGCCCCGGACAGCAGTGGGGGGTATGCCAGATGTACTATTGTAACAGACTCCCTGGACGCATACTGTTCTCTGGAAACAAACGGCTCAAAGACACTTTGTTAAACACATTTAATCAAGGACGTAACAGTATTGATGATCTCATATTTGCTACGTGCTGGATGTTTTCGTGCCAAAGGCATGTTTCGGTTGGCCACACGTCAGAATATTGACATCAGCAGATTGTGGGCCCGATACAAATAAACACATCAATTCAAAAGAACGGAGGCAGTTTATACGCCCAAAAACTTGTCCCACTAGATATGGCCTTCACTGTGTCGTACTTGTCCTGCTAGATATGATCTTCACTGTGTCGGACTTTTCCGAATGGATATGATCTTCACTGTGTCGGACTTGTCCTGCTAGATATGGCCTTCACTGTGTCAGTCTTGTCCCACTAGATATGATCTTCACTGTGTCGATCTTGTCCCACTAGATATGATCTTCACTGTGTCGGACTTGTCCCACTAGATATGGCCTTCACTGTGTCTGACTTGTCCCACTAGATATGGTCTTCACTGTGTCGGACTTGTCCCACTAGATATGGACTTCTGTGTTGTACTTGTACCTCCTAGGTGTGGACTTAAGCGTCTTGTAGCTCCTTGGTGTGGACGTTGGTGTCTTGTACCTCCTAGGTGTGGACTTAAGCGTCTTGTACCTCCTAGGTGTGGACTTCAGCGTCTTGTAAATTGTAGGTGTGGACTTCGGTGTCTTCTACCTCCTAGGTGTGGACTTCGGTGTCTTGTATCTTCAGTGTGTCGGACTTGTCCCACTAGATATGGCCTTCACTGTATCGGACTTGTCCCACTAGATATGATCTTCACTGTGTCGGACTTGTCCTGCTAGATATGGTTTTCACTGTCTTGGACTTGTCCCACTAGATATTGCCTTCACTGTGTCGGACTTGTCCCACTAGATATGGTCTTCACTGTGTCGGACTTGTCCCACTAGATATGGTCTTCACTGTGTCGGACTTGTCCTGCTAGATATGGTCTTCACTGTGTCGGACTTGTACTGCTAGATATGGTCTTCACTGTGTCGGACTTGTTTTTCTATATATGAGCTTCAATTTGTCGGACTTGTCCTGCTAGATATGGTCTTCGCTGTATCGGACTTTTCCCACTAGATATGGTCTTCACTGTGTCGGACTTGTCCCTCTAGATATGGCCTTCACTGTGTCGGACTTGTCCCACTAGATATGGTCTTCACTGTGTCGGACTTGTCCTGCTAGATATGGTCTTCACTGTCTTGGACTTGTCCCACTAGATATGGTCTTCAGTGTGTCGGACTTTTCCCACTAGATATAGCCTTCACTGTGTCGGACTTGTCCTGCTAGATATGGCCTTCACTGTGTCAGTCTTGTCCAACTAGATATGATCTTCAGTGTGTCGGACTTGTCCCTCTAGATATGGCCTTCACTGTATCGGACTTGTCCCACTAGATATGATCTTCACTGTGTCGGACTTGTCCTGCTAGATATGGTCTTCACTGTCTTGGACTTGTCCCACTAGATATTGCCTTCACTGTGTCGGACTTTTCCCACTAGATATGGCCTTCACTGTGTCGGACTTGTCCTGCTAGATATGGCCTTCACTGTGTCAGTCTTGTCCAACTAGATATGGCCTTCACTGTATCGGACTTGTCCCACTAGATATGATCTTCACTGTGTCGGACTTGTCCTGCTAGATATGGTCTTCACTGTCTTGGACTTGTCCCACTAGATATTGCCTTCACTGTGTCGGACTTTTCCCACTAGATATAGCCTTCACTGTGTCGGACTTGTCCTGCTAGATATGGCCTTCACTGTATCGGACTTGTCCCACTAGATATGGTCTTCACTGTGTCGGACTTGTACTGCTAGATATGGTCTTCACTGTGTCGGACTTGTTTTTCTATATATGAGCTTCAATTTGTCGGACTTGTCCCACTAGATATGGTCTTCGCTGTGTCGGACTTTTCCTACTAGATGTGAGATTCATTGTATAAGTAGTATCCCGTCAAATATGCACTTCATAGACAGGGCCTGCCAGATACGATCTCCACCTTAATGGACTTGTGGACTTGGTAATATCGGACTTGTTCTGCCTCACAAGGGTTTCATAGTATCTGGCTTCTCCTATCAGATGTGGTTGTCAATAGTTTCGGACTTGGGCTTTTTCCCAGCTGGCCTTGTACTGTCAGATATGGACTTTTGCGTATTGCATTTGCCATGTTACCTTCTCCACCATAACGGATTTGTTGAATGAGTGCTTTGCAAATTCGGACCTGTCCTACCTGACGTGTTCCTCAAAATACCAGACTTGTCCCAGTTGACTTTCTACTTTCTAGGTGTGGACTTTAGCGTCTTGTACCTCCGAGGTGTGGACTTCAGCGTCTTGTAAATTGTAGGTGTGGACTTCGGTGTCTTGTACCTCCGAGGTGTGGACTTCGGCGTCTTGTACGTCCTAGGTGTGGACTTCAGCGTCTTGTACCTCCTAGGTGTGGACTTCAGTGTCTTGTAAATTGTAGGTGTGGACTTCGGTGTCTTGTACCTCCTAGGTGTGGACTTCAGCGTCTTGCACCTCCTAGGTGTGGACTTCAGCGTCTTGCACCTCCTAGGTGTGGACTTCAGCGTCTTGCACCTCCTAGGTGTGGACTTCAGCGTCTTGTAAATTGTAGGTGTGGACTTCGGTGTCTTGTACCTCCTAGGTGTGGACTTCAGCGTCTTGTACCTCCTAGGTGTGGACTTCGGTGTCTTGTACCTCCTAGGTGTGGACTTCAGCGTCTTGTAGCTCCTTGGTGTGGACGTTGGTGTCTTGTACCTCCTAGGTGTGGACTTAAGCGTCTTGTAGCTCCTAGGTGTGGACTTCGGTGTCTTGTGCCTCCTAGGTGTGGACTTAAGCGTCTTGTGGACTTCAGCGTCTTGCACCTCCTAGGTGTGGACTTCAGCGTCTTGCACCTCCTAGGTGTGGACTTCAGCGTCTTGTACCTCCTAGGTGTGGACTTCAGCGTCTTGTAAATTGTAGGTGTGGACTTCGGTGTCTTGTACCTCCTAGGTGTGGACTTCAGCGTCTTGCACCTCCTAGGTGTGGACTTCAGCGTCTTGCACCTCCTAGGTGTGGACTTCAGCGTCTTGTAAATTGTAGGTGTGGACTTCGGCGTCTTGCACCTCCGAGGTGTGGACTTCAGCGTCTTGTAAATTGTACGTGTGGACTTCGGTGTCCTGTACCTCCTAGGAGTGGGTTTCAGCGTCTTCTACATCCTAGGTGTGGACTTCGGTGTCTTGTACCTCCTAGGTGTGGACTTAAGCGTCTTGTAGCTCCTTGGTGTGGACTTCGGTGTCTTGTACCTCCTAGGTGTGGACTTAAGCGTCTTGTACCTCCTAGGTGTGGACTTCGGTGTCTTGTGCCTCCTAGGTGTGGACTTAAGCGTCTTGTACCTCCTAGGTGTGGGCTTAAGCGTCTTGTACCTCCGAGGTGTGGACTTCAGCGTCTTGTAAATTGTAGGTGTGGACTTCAGCGTCTTGTACCTCCTAGGTGTGGACTTCGGCGTCTTGTACGTCCTAGGTGTGGACTTCAGCTTCTTGTAAATTGTAGGTGTGGACTTCGGTGTCTGTACCTCCTAGGAGTGGGTTTCAGCGTCTTCTACCTCCTAGGTGTGGACTTCGGTGTCTTGTACCTCCTAGGTGTGGACTTAAGCGTCTTGTAGCTCCTTGGTGTGGACGTTGGTGTCTTGTACCTCCTAGGTGTGGACTTAAGCGTCTTGTAGCTCCTTGGTGTGGGCTTAAGCGTCTTGTACCTCCTAGGTGTGGACTTAAGCGTCTTGTAAATTGTAGGTGTGGACATCAGCGTCTTGTACCTCCTAGGTGTGGACTTCAGCGTCTTGTAAATTGTAGGTGTGGACTTCGGTGTCTTGTACCTCCTAGGTGTGGACTTCGGCGTCTTGTAAATTGTAGGTGTGGACTTCGGCGTCTTGTAGCTCCTAGGTGTGGACTTCAGCGTCTTGTACCTCCTAGGTGTGGACTTCCGTGTCTTGTAAATTGTAGGTGTGGACTTCGGTGTCTGTACCTCCTAGGAGTGGGTTTCAGCGTCTTCTACCTCCTAGCTGTGGACTTCGGCGTCTTGTACCTCCGAGGTGTGGACTTCAGCGTCTTGTACCTCCTAGGTGTGGACTTCAGCGTTTTGTACCTCCTAGGTTTGGACTTCCGTGTCTTGTAAATTTTAGGTGTGGACTTCGGTGTCTGTACCTCCTAGGAGTGGGTTTCAGCGTCTTCTACCTCCTAGGTGTGGACTTCGGTGTCTTGTACCTCCTAGGTGTGGACTTAAGCGTCTTGTAGCTCCTTGGTGTGGACTTCGGTGTCTTGTACCTCCTAGGTGTGGACTTAAGCGTATTGTACCTCCTAGGTGTGGACTTCAGCGTCTTGTACCTCCTAGGTGTGGACTTCCGTGTCTTGTAAATTTTAGGTGTGGACTTCGGTGTCTGTACCTCCTAGGAGTGGGTTTCAGCGTCTTCTACATCCTAGGTGTGGACTTCGGTGTCTTGTACCTCCTAGGTGTGGACTTAAGCGTCTTGTAGCTCCTTGGTGTGGACTTCGGTGTCTTGTACCTCCTAGGTGTGGACTTAAGCGTATTGTACTTCCTAGGTGTGGATTTCAGCGTCCTGTACCTCCTAGGTGTGGACTGCAGTGTCTTCTACATCCTAGGTATGGACTTCAGTGTCTGTACCTTCTAGATGTGAAGTTCACTGTTGTCTTTCATGTCTTGTTTAATGCAACTGCTATACAGTGGTCGTTGATCAAGCCCGCCAACACTGTGGTGAATTTACATTCTACAATTATCCGAGTGTAATTGCAATGCATGTGTTGAAGAAGGGGAGTTACCCCGCTGGTGGAGTACAATGTATTACCGTATAACCTGGTGTTTCCTCAGACAGACCATTCAGGCTGGTATTGTATTCCGTTATCAAGTTGAAAACTTTATCAAGAAAATACAATGCACAACCGATGACCTGAAGGCCTGTCAGACATGTGTGTTACATGGGGTGTAGAAATAATCGTGGAGGCGTTGCTGCCCGAAAAGGCTGGACAACTTGCTGCATGTCGTGTTAGTGCTTCTCAAGCCGGACTAGACAATTACCCCTCATTGCTGACAGTAAAGGTCGTGATAGATGTCCCCTCAGATGCTCCCATTAGTGCAGCACGTCTGGAGGTATCGGCTCAGATAAGTCAAGATAATTGATGGATTATGCACAACGATGTATTTCGTCCCGTTCAGTTGCTGATGACGGCAGTGGGACTATCCAGTCGTGGGATGTCCCCGAGGACCACCACAGGATCTGGATGACCAGTTATTGACGCTCCCTGCATCAACCCATGCCAGCTCCTGCACCGTCTCCTGAACGCCATATATACAGCGTGGGTAATTATCTAGGATACGTTGTTACGGATAGAAGTTGCCTATTTAATTGAGTTGACACTGAAGACACGTTCAGATGATTCAAGTCCCCACATAGTGCCAGCGTTAATCTGTCCTATCAGACACCGGTGCAGCTATATGCTCCATGCCAGGGGACTGATTATATCACACACACACACACACACACACACACACACACACACACACACACCCTCCAGATAGTATGGAGGTCATGAACAGTTCAGCATGTTAAACTTGCGCTTCGAAACAAGTCAAGCACACGATGTATTACTTAATAGAATCGTTCGCTGTAGTTTGTCTGTTGTGTTTGTTGCTAAGCGAGTGAATATGTGATGCCTTGTTCTGAACGGCTAGGTATACATTCTCTCTCAAAAAAGGGGACGCACTGAGGATTATCTTTGGCAAAGATTCTATAGATTTCACCTAAAATGTTTGAAAGAGCTACATTTACAAATGTTACTTTAAAGCGCCATGTGTTATTCTCAGATCCGTAATGGTAATTTATTTAACGAAATAGACAGGTAGTGTCTTCTCCAGAAATATACTTCATGCGAAAACCTGAGATACAATGATCAACTTGTATTTACCATCCCCAGGACCAATCTCAAATCCTTCGGCCAGAGATCATTCTCATTCTGTGCTCCTTCTCTCTGGAACTGTCTTCCTTTTGATATCAAAACCTCCCCATCTTTAGCTGTCTTCAAGTCCAAACTTAAAATCCATCTCTTCTCTAAGTACTATCCTTGATACCTGCGCTTTGAGCAACCGCAACGGATGGAAAAAAGCACAATATAGATGCACTTATTATTATTATTAATACCAGTTGCCGATATAAGCTGTGGTTACCAGTTGCCGATATCAGCTGTGGATACCAGTTGTTGAAACCAGTTGCTGATATCAGCTGTGGTTAGCAGTTGCCGATATCAGCTGTGGATACCAGTTGTTGAAACCAGTTGCTGAAATCAGCTGTGGATACCAGATACCAGTTGTATCGGCTGTGGTTCCTGTTGTTGATACCAGTTGCAGATATCAGCTGTGGATACCAGTTGTTGAAACCAGTTGCTGATATCAGCTGTGGTTAGCAGTTGCCGATATCAGCTGTGGATACCAGTTGTTGAAACCAGTTGCTGAAATCAGCTGTGGATACCAGTTGCCGACATCAGTTGTGGTTACCAGTTGCCAATATCAGCTGTGGTTTCCAATTGCCGATATCAGCTGTGGATACCAGTTGTTGAAACCAGTTGCTGATATCAGCTGTGGTTAGCAGTTGCCGATATCAGCTGTGGATACCAGTTGTTGAAACCAGTTGCTGAAATCAGCTGTGGATACCAGTTGCCGACATCAGCTGTGGTTACCAGTTGTTGATACCAGTTGCCGATATCAGCTGTGGTTTCCAATTGCCGATTTTAGCTGTGGATGCCAGTTGTTGAAACCAGTTGCTGATATCAGCTGTGGATACCAGTTGTTGATACCAGTTGCCGATATCAGTTGTGGTTACCAGTTGTTGATACCAGTTGCCGATATCAGCTGTGGTTACCAGTTGTTGATACCAGTTGCCGCCATCAGCTGTGGATACCAGTTGTTGATACAAGTTGCCGATATCAGCTGTTACCGATACCGCTTGAATCTGGCTGGTGGGTGAAGCAGGTATATAGCTTGTCGTGAGCTGGCAGTCAGACATCCCAGGTGGTATGTTGGCCCAATTAGTTGGCCCAATTAGTGTTAGCCCTTCCGGTAAAGTAGTTGATCAGTTTCTATTCTTGTAGTAGATCAGCTGCTTGATGAGGCCCGCACCAGCAACACCGTTGTTTTCTATATCTGTTCATCCAAGTATCATCATATCTGCCACTAGTAACAGACTTGCTATACCATTCATAAAGGAACGTTTGGAAGTCATTTACATTCATTATTTCGTATCTGTCAAAGCTTTGGATATAAGCACTATTCAAGATTTGTTTGGCTTTAAGAACTGAACGCATCTGTAGTAGCCTATATTCTGAATTTACACTAACTTCCTGAAACCTAGTAATAACGTTTGCTCCGTTCGCATCAATTGTAATATAAATATACGCTATAAATAGCATCATATCTCAAGAGCCCATATTTATATCCCAACTATTGAAAATGTATAGGGTAGCCATGGTATTAAGTGGACAGACACTACTAAAGGCGCCAAGTAAAGGAATGTCGTGACGAGAGTATACAAGACTATAACGCCCGACCAGCTGTTCCAGACGCCAATGTTCCTGTATCTCCGTGTTCGATGTAACGTCAACGCCAGCGCATGGGATGAGATGCTGCGCAGATGAAGAGCCATTCCCGCCAGGAAGATACCCCTGGCAGCTGATGTCCCGGCGATACCCCAAGCAGACCCCGACATCATACGTGGCGCCACCTACGTCCCCCTGATGGAGATGGTCATTTCACGGGACCCGTGGGCATATCCACTAACAAGGTAACAAGGCCACTACGGTACAATACTGTTTCTTGACTTAGCATGAGAGGACAGGTGATGTGGGGAGTATAGGTGATGGGGAGAATGAATATGGAGGGACGTATGATCGTGATGGGGAGGGTCGATGGGGTGTTCGGGGGTGTGTGTGTGGTGTGGGTGGGGGGGTGTGGGGGGGGTTGGGGGTTGGGGGTTGGGGGTGGTGAGTGAAAGTTATGCGGAAAGTGAAGGGGATGGTGAGAGTTGGTGATTGGGAAGGTAAGTGATGGTAATATGGAGAGTGATGGTTATGGGGGAGGGCGACGGGCGAGGTGGTCTGGGCGACAGGCGATGGGGTCTGGGCGAGGGCGAGGCGACGTGGGAGGGCGAGGGCGAGGGCGAGGGCGAGGGCGAGGGCGAGGGCGAGGGCGAGGGCGAGGGCGAGGGCCTCTGTGGCGACGGGGGGACTCGAGTGGAAGTTATGGGAAGTTGTGAATGAAGCCCCGGACACAATGACTTCAGTTTTAATCATGTGCGATATAACTGTAATTGTTGTCTGGTCCTTAACATAGTGTCCGTGTACTGACAGTCCATGTCAATATACCAAAAGACCGGGCGTTATGCGATACATCTCTATAGTGAGAAGGGGTGTCAGTGAAGATGGACCCTATACCAGGATAAGATGGCAGTTGATGCGAACGTCGTTATTCTCGGATGGTTTAAATCGACTTGTGTAAACGCTCTGTGATCGCACGCCAAACAAACCCGCCTCCCTGCCACGGGGCTAATCACTAATCATGTCTGTGACATTCTTCGGCAGACACTGCTAGCATCGTACACCTTACAGAACATCTATGGGCTTATTGCTGGATCTATACATGCTTACTACATCGGATTTGAAATACACGATCAGATTTAATAGTATAGACGTCGGTTTGAATGTATGTAGACAACGTGTCGGTTTCAAAGGACTGTTGAGTGAGTGAGTTGATTTTAATACACAAACACTGCTGTTTTCAGTAAACGAATGTTAGCAGACTATAATATCGCTGGTGAATTACCAACAACAGAAGGCTTACACTGGGTATCCAGGGTGATAAATCACGTCACGGCCGTATCGACGTTATGTTGTGAGATGAGCTCCCAGAATGCATGATGACAGAAGCATGCGTGTGCCCGCTGTATAGTCTGTGCCCGCTGTATAGTCTACAAAGCTCCCAGAGAATGTTCCATGATGACAGAAAGCTGTATAGTCTACATGCAGAATGTTCCATGATGCCCGCTGTATAGTCTACATAGCTCCCAGAATGTTCCCCAGAATGTTCCATGATGACAGAAGCATGCGTGTGCCCGCTGTATAGTCTACATAGCTCCCAGAATGTTCCATGATGACAGAAGCATGCGTTTGCCCGCTGTATAGTAGCTCCCAGAATGTTCCATGATAGCTGCCCGCCCAGAATGTTCCATGATGACAGAAGCATGCCCGCTGTTTGCCCGCTGTATAGTCTACATGCGTGTTTGCCCGCTGTATAGTCTACATAGCTCCCAGAATGTTCCATGATGACAGAAGCATGCGTTTGCCCGCTGTATAGTCTACATAGCTCCCAGAATGTTCCATGATGACAGAAGCATGCGTTTGCCCGCTGTATAGTCTACATAGCTCCCAGAATGTTCCATGATGACAGAAGCATGCGTTTGCCCGCTGTATAGTCTACATAGCTCCCAGAATGTTCCATGATGACAGAAGCATGCGTGTGCCCGCTGTATAGTCTACATAGCTCCCAGAATGTTCCATGATGACAGAAGCATGCGTGTGCCCGCTGTATAGTCTACATAGCTCCCAGAATGTTCCATGATGACAGAAGCATGCGTTTGCCCGCTGTGTAGTCTAAATAGCTCCCAGAATGTTCCAGGACGTATTGGATGAGTCCATAGCTGTAAGATTCCAGATTAGACCAGACGCACACACAGTCACCTCCACGCTACTGCTTTGATTGGAAGGATATTGAACCTTAATAGAAACAACGTCAACCTTGCTTAACGAATTGAATTGTTACTGTAACAATACTGACATGATTTATGAGCTAATTACATTCGGTTTGAAACCCCAGAAGTGTTCAACGGAGCTGACCTTGTACACGTCAACATGGAGTAAGTGGGCCGAGTTGTACACATACCTCATCACAGGCGACAGGACTGGTCATTGTGAGAACCTCCGGAACGTTACAAACCAGCGCCTTGTATTCCAGTATCTTCTACACCTGTCACCTGATAGCACGCACTGGACATAACCCAGGACCAGTATCTCATATTGTGCAGTTACTGTAAGTCAAACACAGTTTAGGCGTTAATATCGTCATCTGTATCTACGGGTTTGTTGATCATTCACCGACATCACGTCACTCGTGCCACGTATAGAAAATCAATTGTCAAGTTCTTCAACCTACACTTCCCACAATAACGACAAATCTTATGGATAATAAGTACGTATATTTCGTGAGTAGGGCGTTTCCGTACAGATTCGTGAACCCTTTCATGCAGGTTAACGGTAACAGGAATCTGTATAAAAATGGCGCACTTAAAAAATACAAGTAGTTGTTGTCCATACAATTTGTAAATTATTGTACTACCTAACTTCTCAATGCCTCTCAAATAAGTTAAACTTCCCACTTCATTCAAAACATTATCCGTCCTCAATTGTTTAACTGAACTGACACTCAATCACTCTTTCCAAAAAGCTTCTTTCACAATAATAACTTTATGACCATTTAATCCCCAATCTGCAGATTACAAGGAATAGGCAGTCCAGTCACTCAGTCACGCATGCCATTGTCTTCTGACTTGTGTCTTCTGTATGCGGATACACATTGGTTTGTTACAGTGTGAAGTAGTTGTATGCGGGTAGTTTGTTACAGCGCGAAGTAGTTGTATGCGGATAGTTTGTTACAGTGTGAAGTAGTTGTATGCGGATAGTTTGTTACAGTGTGAAGTAGTTGTATGCGGATAGTTTGTTACAGTGTGAAGTAGTTGTATGCGGATAGTTTGTTACAGTGTGAAGTAGTTGTATGCGGATAGTTTGTTACAGTGTGAAGTAGTTGTATGCGGATAGTTTGTTACAGTGTGAAGTAGTTGTATGCGCATAGTTTGTTACAGTGTGAAGTAGTTGTATGCGCATAGTTTGTTACAGTGTGAAGTAGTTGTATGCGGATAGTTTGTTACAGTGTGAAGTAGTTGTATGCGCATAGTTTGTTACAGTGTGAAGTAGTTGTATGTGGATAGTTTGTTAAAGTGTGAAGTAGTTGTATGCGCATAGTTTGTTACAGTGTGAAGTAGTTGTATGCGCATAGTTTGTTACAGTGTGAAGTAGTTGTATGCGGATAGTTTGTTACAGTGTGAAGTAGTTGTATGCGGATAGTTTGTTACAGTGTGAAGTAGTTGTATGAGGATACACACTAGTTTGGTATTACCGGTGAACATTTACTCTTTTCGAGATTCTATCCCATCGGTTTGAAAGCCGTACAGTTTGATACATGACCGTCGTGTTCCTTTCCTCTCATTGTGTTATTCGCCGTCCTCTGTACACACATGCGTACACCCTACACAAAGCGTGGTCACAGTCAAACATCCGCCTCGGTGGACATCAATGACACTGTCTTTCACTCACATCAATAGTGTGATCACTGTACATCTGAAGCTTGTCAGAAAATAAATAGGCTGTTATTCACAATCTCGCTTCCGTTAAGCCAGCGATTACTAATCATTGGATGTACATCAATGTGCTGTTTATATAGGAGATATCATATCACTATATTGTTATGTGATATCCCAGCCCATTACTACTAAATTTAGGAGGTCCTTAATTGCATTGTATCAAGATATATGTACATTAGTATAGAGACCGACTTCGTGGAATGTAGGATTATTTGATAGTTATTGGCAAGAACTGGAATGAATTGCCTAATTTCTGCTTATCTTAAATTTAATGCGTAGAATAATTCAGTGTGAAATCAACAAACACAGAATTACCAATCAGGTTATTGCAAATGGATTACACTGGTACTACAGACACATTAGGAATGGTAATGATAATAACGCTTGTGATTATACCATCCATCTGGGAGCATCACTGGTCCTGCTTCAAGGTAGCCCCAGATGGGAGATCCAGGCTGAAAGTATCATCTCCACACAGCCACTGAGATCAGAGAGGCATACCCGCTTATACGGCCATGCAAAGATTCCACACGTTTCCGTACTATACTTGCTTAATCTGAGTTGTTCTCGATGCTTGTGGACACCCTTGACACTAAAACGTGAAACAATAACATCTCGCACATCACAGCCTACAATCAGATAGGACAGTGGTGTATTCCTAACAACTAAAAACTTATTAAACACATTTCAATGTTATGAACTTCTACTGCATCGTAACATGACAACAGACAAACGTCATCGCCCTTTCCCCAAAGGATGAAATGACAATTTGTGTCATCATATGTATCTATCTAGATACTGATATCATTATACTTTTAGTAACACTACAACAACCTTCCCAGTTTGGTTTGTGGATGTAGTGTGTGTGTAGTACATAATGTCACTTTGTATGGATGCTGATGGTTGTTAATAGTCCAGTACGAAACAAGAACAAAACATGAAATATCGTTCGTACAAGAAAGTAACCCCATAGGCGGTTCCTGAAACTTAAAATATCGAGGAAGGGTTTAGGAAAGTGATTTTGTGTCTGAAAATGTTGCACCGAGGTCCTTGTTTGCCACATTTAATTGAGGTGAAGATGGTCCTTTGAGGGTTCACCAGAGACTGTATGTGATTTGACCGAAGAAACAGAGCAACGTGAAGGACTATTCCCTCTAGTCCACACTGTTGGGCCTGACTGTTTGTGAAGCCATTCATCAGCAATACTTGCTGGATTTCTACCAGTATTGTATTGGTAT